ATGTTTTGGCTCCTTGTCAAGATATTGAGCAGATATTGGGCATTTGTGTAAGGAGTTTGAAATATGCTAAGCTGAACAGAAAGCACCACCCCAAGTATTGTTGCATTCTTTGGAATTTCTGGGAGAGTGTTGGAAGAGAATGCATATTGACTTCGCAGGTTCACTTCAGAATTGTGTTTATGGTGTTGGTTGATGCTTTTTCCATGTGGTTGGAGGTCTTTCGCATGCCACAGATAACCCCACAAGCTATCATCATGAGGTTCAGGAGACAGTTTGCTTCTTAAGGGTTACCTGAACAGATTGTTACAGATAATGGCACAGTTTTCACATCAATGGAATTTTAGAACTTTATAAGACTGAATGGTATCTTGCACACTACCAGCACACCAGACCATCCCATGACCAGTGAGCTACCAGAGTTTTAAAGCAGGTATAAAGAAATTGATCTATACTGATTGGGACATTGAGGACAAGTTTTCCTTGTTCCTATTACAGTATCACACTACTTCAAACTGCACAACAGAACATGTACCAGCAGAGTTGTTCCTGGCTGGATTTGCTTAAACCTAGTTCAGGGGAGGGTGTATGATGGAAACAATATCTACGAAAGGACTATCATGATCACCATGCAACTAATACATCTGTTGTGGTAAATTATCTGGTGTATCTTTGTAACACGACAGGAAGTGGACCATGATGGATTCTAGGAGTACAGTAGTAGCACAACAGAATGGACCAGTGTCCTACAAAGTTAACACTGACATTATTCACATTACGCACTTAGAGTGTATGCATGTGCAACCTAAGTAACATGAGCGACATTACAAATGAGATGTTTGGGAATAAAGATGGCAAGGTGAGACCATATCTCTGAATAATCGTGTGTCCCCCTGCCCAGTACATCACTGACTTTATGATAAATTCAACAGACAAAGATGCCAAGGATGTCCTCTCCAGTGGCAAAGATATTGAGGTGACACTTCGTATTGTTTAGCTGCTAATGGCTCACTTTGAAGAGAACCTAACAGGTGTGAATATTTTAGAGTATCCTTTAAGTCAAAGTCAGTGGCAGCTAGTGAAAAATATTCTAGGTGGAGCTGTTTTTGCCATATTCAGTCAGTTTCAGTAACCATCACTATATAATTTAGCACAGACTGCAGCATTCCAGGGCTCTGTCTACTAGCGATTATTTAACTGGTGTTAAAAATCAATATATTTCTATCTGTTATGGAAACAGTTATCATTTCAAGTTAGGCAAACCAGCCACTTTGTATGACAGAGGCATCATTAACTGGGCACCAGCAAAAAAATTGGGACACAGCAGTCTGTTGGCATCATGGACATCAAGAGAGGAAATCAAAAAGAATCAACTGTGACAGGTCCCTTCAACTAAATGAAAGCCGCACATAAAATAAATTCATCAGCAGTCACTTTTATTTGCTTCAATGTTACCCATGATGTTTAAAAAACAGATAATTAATAACATCCTCATAATAGACAGCTCACAATCATTTTGCTTTCAATATGTGTGGATCACATTTAGTAATATCTGTTCTCTTTTTATATTGTTTGCTTTTATTTCATTTTTTTTTCGCTTTCTTTCTTTTGCTATTATATAATGTCATTTTACGTCACCATATCCAGTGTACTGAATATGGCTGCACCAAGATGGCAGCGCAAGGTAATTGTCCAATACAATTGCTTACCCCCTAGTGGTCTTGCACTCCCGGCAAATGCAAGCATTGCTCCAGCCATGTGCCACCTCAGGGGGTATTCCACTAAACAGGATTTCTCAGTTAGCTGGATCATTTACCCAAGCAGAGTCATGGTATTCCACAAAGCAGGATATATTTTTCATTAGCCAGATAACTTATGCCAAATGTAAGGATTGTCCAATAGGAATGTCACTTACCTCTCCTCCTATTGGACAGTTTCTATGTTTGGCTTAAGTCATCCAGCTAACTGGGAAATCCTGGGGGGTGTTCCACAAAGTAGGATTTCAGTGTTAACTGGGTTAACTTGACTTATCTTGATCGTCCAATAAGAGTTTAGGTAAGGAGCATTTCCATTAGACAATTAAGATTTGTAGCTTAGGTAACACCGCTGAGATATCTTGCTTTGTGGAATACCCCCACTGCTCAGGGCGCTAAATTAATCATCCTTTAGGCATCCAATTCGAGGACACTAATTGGCTGAATTTATGTTACTATGTGCATATCTTGTTTCATAGTTTTCATGTGACATCACATCATATAGGACCACCCACCAAAAAGCTGAAAGAAGGCTTTATTCTTCTGCCTTCCACTTATTTTACCACATTTATTTAGCCAAAATGCCAGATAGTTGCAGTCCAGTTGGCTGCATTATCTGACAAGGAGACAAGCCTGGGTTGTGCCTCTCCAGAATAACATCTGAGAAAGAAAACCCAGAGTGGAGGAGACTTATGGACTTGTGGATTTGTGCTTAGACGTGCTTCCATCCCTGGAGAGGGAATTAAAGAATAGCAACCATCAAAGGGCACTTTCACACTACAGTTCAGGAACCTGGGCAGTCTCGACCAGGAACTAGTTCCTGCCGACTTTTATGTGCCACTTTCCCAGTGCACAGTGTTAGTCTTGCCTCTTGTTCCTGCCCTTCTGTTATTCCAGTCTGTTGTGCCAGTCTCCTTGTGTTCTATAATAAAACCCATTTGTTTGCCCCATCTCCAACTATCATTCTTCTTACTGGCAATAATTAGTCAATTTCCTTGAACATGCACAGTCAATGCACGTATAGGCGACTCCAGGATTTTCTCCCAAGGGGTGCAAGGTGAGAGAGCCCAACCAGTCAGTCATTACATGCTATACTAGGGGTGGGCAATCTTATCTGCAAAGGGCCATTGTGTGTGTGGGTTTTCACTGCAACTCCCTAATTAGATTACTAATTAGAGGACTGATTGGCTGAAGAGTCCTCACACCTGGGTTTTAACAGTTGACCTAAAGCTTAACACAAGCCACATTTTCAAATATAACTTTACAATATAATTTTATTTTATTGAACTTAATATGTTCAAATAGCATTTTCATCTGACCGGTAGGGGGTGCAATTGCGCCCCCATGGACACGAAAAAAGACCGCTAGACTAAACAACTGTGCTGCGAGTATGAATTAAGTGAGCTTTACCCTTATATGAGAACCCCGAAAACGTCAGAGACACAGGTCTGCAACTTCTTCAAAAATAATTATTCCCTCTGGATTTCCCCATCTTATACTGAGCTCGTGGTTGAGTGAAAAAATACATGGGTGTATTGCGTGGTTGCTGGAAACAATCAGGTGATTTTCACAGAGGTTTTGAGATGGCGAAGCTAACACACGTTGACATTTGACCGGCATAATAGCATTTTGTAGACTTTTGCACAGTACTGTATGTATGTGTGCATACATATACACACACACATACACAGACACACACACACTCACGTACATTCACCTAGTTTGTGCTTAGTAAGCCTGGAATGTCACTGTACCAAACATAAAGAATAATCTGGTCATTAATTGGCAACAACTCAGAACAAAGAAAACAGGCTACCTCCATTCTTAGTGCATTCTCTAAATCTGAATAAAAGAGCACACTCATAATGTGGTAGCTTCAGAACCCATGTCCAGTGGCATTCTATTCTATTTATTTGCTTGTTTGTTATGCATTAATGTTTTTATTTGTGCTACTTTGATGGTTTGGAGTTCTGGGAAGGTTTATGACACTTGTCATCAGGAAGATCCCATTTCAGACATTAAATCAGTTGAAAGAGTCTGAGACTGTACAGGATAAGTGGTTTAGTGGATGGATGGATGGATGGATGGATGGATGGATGGATGGATGGATGGATAGAAAATTGTTAAAAAAAAAAAAGGTTATGGGAACAGGGAAGGATGCCTTGAACAGCAAATATGGAAACTACAAATGGGATCTGTACACCTGTGTTGCTTGTAGCTATTGATTGGTGTGGGAATCACTTGAATATTTTACTAATTAGTTAGGCTGAGTCTCTCTCAGTGGAACTGTACGGGAACGTATCTGGAATGTAATCCTTTGATATCTGGTCAAGCCCAGTTCTGTAAATAACAATGCTGCTTGTTTCTGTTGTTAATAAAAAATTCAGCATGACATCCATTTCTGACCTTCCAGTACAAGCCACGGCTCCTATGACTACGAAAAAGAAGCCACACCCTCAGAAAACAAGAAACACACACCTCACCACTCTGTAACCATGTCGTATAAACCTCACGTAATTTCAGATCACGTTCCCAACTCTGTAGCAAAGCATAGGGCACAATTCAGTGAAAACACACACACACACACACACACACACAGGTGTTGGAATTCATATCTTTGTGGGGACCGTCCATTCATTTCTATTGGAAAAACCCTAATCCCAACAACGACAACCTTAACCCCTACCTGCCCCCTAACCTTAACTATAAGCAACCAATCAAAGTACAAGACTTTTGACAACAAGAGTTTTTCAATTAGTCACACATTTTTATAAAATTGAGTTTCTCCTTGTGGGGACTGAGAAATGGTCCCCATAACATCAAAATAGATGGTTTTTATCACATTGTGGGGACAAAATGTATATATAATGTATACATAACCCACACACACACACAGAACATTCATACAATTTACTCATTATAATAAAAGAAAATGTAACGGAATACATTTAGAAAAACAATTTATTGTACATGAAACGACTTCATCTAGTGAAACGGATGCATGCAAAGCTGTTGCACGTCATTGACGAGACGCTCTAAATAGAATCATTTTAAGATAAATGTACAGTCGTTTGTCCACACCTATAAGGTATCTTCAGAATTTAAGAGAACCAAGACTAGACATGTCACAGTGGGATGACTGTTAATTATTATTTGGTAACCATTGTCTACTTCGTTAGGTAACTTCGTTTATTCAAATACAAAAGGAGGAGAAGTGGGCGTGGCCATTTATGGACGCATATTGTCATGGCAAAACGATAGAGTATGGTAACTGATGGGCGACAGGTAGCCTTTAGGGAAACAGCCCATCCGCGGTACCTAGAAAACTGAAAGATTTTGTTTTGTACAATATTGATTAAATATGCAACATGTGTAACACATTTTAGATTAATTTTAGATTAGATCCGAAATGAAAAGAGGAGCATTTACCCTGCTGGGCACTCGGAAAACCCCGTCTCTTTTCGACACAAACGCTGAGATCAGGGAGAGCGGTGAGTACCATCGATGGCGATATCGAACTTTGGTGACATTCTGACTGGGACGAGACAGTGACTCGTTTCTAAGACAAGATCATTATAAATGTGGGATGATTATAGGATTTGAACCTTGGGGGGCGGCTAAACCACCCGAAGGAATACGAAATGCCCCCATCCCACTATTACATTTTCCGATCAGAGGTGGGGGGATTCAACGCGATAAAGTTTTCTGCGCCGGGGGTGCTACGAATCGTATACAAAAATACTGGACAAATCGCTAAATAGTTTTAGAAAAAATATTTTAGGGGGGCTGAGACAAAAAATCCGAGACGGAAGTCCATCTGAATAGGATCTAGAAACCGCCTATGTTATAAACTGCCTGGTGCCATAAATATGACTAAGTCTTATTGATTATTTGCAGCGTGTGAGTATAATTTGAATTTTCAGGAAATTTACGGTAACCCTGAATTATCGGAGAGTTTCAGTGGGTGCTATTTCCTTCTTTTAATATATGTAAGAGTAATGTAAGCAGTCGCTCAGTGTGGTAGCTGCAATATGGGCTCTCGGTAGCGTCAAATAATGCCAATGGCTTAGAGCAACAGGCAGAAACAGCCAACTAATAAGTACACAGGACTTTTTTTACCATAAAGTACCAGCGTACGAGTTCTTTGGCAGCAAAACACTATTTGGCCATACATATATGTCGGAACTATTTGTATGAGTGATAACATACCGATTTACGTTGATGATAGATCTCAACACTGATCGAAGTTGTCTCACGTCTGGAAAAATCTCTGGCATTATAATTTCGTGATTTATTGATTCTGAAAAGTTTTTTACTCTTAAATTCGCTACTGGTTCATTAAAAAATAGCACCTCGTTAGTTAAGAGCGAGTTCGTTAACGGCACTATTTTAAAGATGCCACTTAAGGTATTAATACTATTTGTTTTGCACTTGGTGAAGCTTTGGAGAAGTTGGAAATTACATTTTTTAAATATGGTTAAATAAAAAGGTATATCTAGATCCCTTGACGACAATGCTTGTTTTGCTAGAATACTTTCTTTTAGCCCCATTCCACCAGAGGTATTCAAACTCTGGGGCCAAAAAAGAAAAAGAAAAAAAAACAGAACACAGCGACCCCAGTGCAGATTTATTTAAGAATTGCAACCTTCAGAAATTTTAAAAATACTGCGAACACATTATATCCCCATACACATTATATGAGGCTAACAAATAAAAATAATTAAAATGTGTGACATAGACAGGCACCACGTATTGAATACATCAAACTTTTATGACTAGTAACGTAACAAAAGTTTACTGTGGAAAGGCTGCTCAGTTAATGCTGACACACTTGGAATCATTTAGTAACTTCTAGCTGATATAGTTGTATTAATATAAAATGATAAAGATGGTAAAGAAACACTTAAAACGAGTAGAAACAGAAAATACATCGACATATATCTGGAATACTGTTCCAGATATATGTTGTGTGTGTGCGTGTGTGTGTGTATGAATTAGGTTTATATTACATTGTGGGGACCAAATGTGCTCCACAATGTGATAAAAGCCTGTTATTATGACGTTGTGGGGACCATTTTTCAGGTTCCTACAAAGATCTGTGACTGCAGTTAGAAAGCTAAAAATGCCAAACGTCTTGTATTTTGTTTGGTTACTTATTGTTAAGGTTAGAGCTCAGCCCCCTAAAGAAATACTAGACACCCCCCTCCCACCATTACATTTTTCCAGACGTGAGACAACGTCAGTGTTGAGATCTATATCATCAACGTAAATTGGCATGTCATTACTCATACAAGGAGTAATGCTTATGGAGGTAATGTTGGGATTAGAGTTTCCCCATAGAAATGAATGGAGAGTCCCTACAAAGAAGATATAATTACAAACCTCTGTGTGTGTGTTGGGGGGGGGGGGGGGGGGGGGGGGGTTTCAGGACAAATATATCGGCCCTAGGGGGCCCTGTCAAAAAAAGTTTGAATACCACTGCCCTACTCCATCTCTTCACAAGCATAGCATCAACGACAGAAACTCCATTGAAGTTAATTAGAGCGCAGTGTTCATGTATGGGGCGGATTCCTGTGCCGTTTTGCCGGCTGTTGCCAATGGGAAGTCACCAAAGCATGCTCAAAAAGCCACCAGAAGCTGCTGAATGATGTCATACACCAATTCACATATTCAAATATTTTAAAAAGTAGGAAAATTACAAAGAAAAATAAAAGAGAAGACCTTCGTTTATTAAAAGTGATATTAAACAGGTGCCTTTGTACAAAGGTGTTATAAATTTCTCAAAATCTTTGGGAGCTTTTGGGGTCATATTAAGTAAAAGTTGACTTCCCAAGTTTCAGCCAAATTTCAGGAAATACTGTAGTTTGATGATGTGAGTGAAATAGCAAGAACATGTATAGCGATTGATTAACTTGGATGGTGAGGGGCACGGTCATGAAGACATTTGTAATCCATACATGTTGTTCTCTTTCAAGTTGCATAACCTTCAATTTTTATATAAGCTATTGATAGTGACTCGAACCCAGGACACATGCTAAATTTTGCATTAGACTGTTTTTTTAAATGAAGTGGCTAAAAGGGTCCTAAAATGTAGAATGTCCCCTTCTGTCATAACCACTTGACAAGCCCCTGCCCCCCCCCATGGCAGAATCATGCAAATTGTATAAGGCCATCTCACAGTATCTCAATTTCATAAATAAGCAAGATTTAAAGGTTAACATAACCCCAAAAAGCCAACCTTATACCTAATATGATAAGTAAGGTATAAACCACGAGCATGTACAGTAGGTCAAGCAAGGCCGGTCAAGCATTATAACCAACACTAAAATAATACTTAAACCAGTTTTGTCACATATTAGAATAAAGCACCACACTGTCAGAAGCAAGACATATAATTAAAGACTTAAGAAGATGACAATCAATTGAGTAACAACTATCTTCACTTTGTATAAATGAATTCTCTTCAAGAGTCAGAAAGGACATTTTTTTCACTAAAGTAATTTCATTTTGCAATTCATTTACATTTGTATTCATATTCACTTGTTTTCTCAGTAGGAAACATGTTGAGTGAAAATGGATATTGTCTGTATAGCATCGGGATTGATAAATGTTTAGTGAACATTTTACATAGTTCAGAACTATTCATGAACTATTCATCTGAGAATTGTAGGAGAATTACAGTACTGATTAAACAGTACATGTCACAGTTAGATGACCTGCCTGCATAAATGATTTAAATTCCAGGATGAGGTTTGCTTCATTACCTTTGGGAATACCATCTACAGTTAATATGAAAACTTTTATTAATATAAAATGACATGGCTACACATCTGTACGATGTGTTTGAATATTATTTAAAAGTTCCCACTACACAAGCAAATTGAATTAATTAAAGTATTTCTTTTCCTAAAATTAATTATAGGTTCAGCTTCAGTTAGGAATGTATTTTTTCCCTATATGGAAGTCATATGATTCGTACAAGTAGTATAAGATACAGGTGCCTTCTTTAGGAATTCTTTAGTTTTCACTTACCTGTCTTACTCTCCTTTTAAACACACAGACAATGGCAAAGTTTGGGATTAGTGCACTGACTCAGTCCTTTATCCAGCACCCCTGCAGCAGCTGTCAGATTTAAGGCCCCAGTGCTGATACGTACACTCTGCCAGCCATGATATTTGAACTGGTGACCTTCCAGTCATAGTCCAGACCCTCAGAGCCACCAATCACATTCTGTGCATAATGCAACAGTGGCTAATATATTCCAAACATTAAACACTTTGGCAGTCCAAATAAACAAAACTAAATTTACATTCACATTTCCATGTGCTTAGAGCACATTGAACTTGAAAAGGAAGTTTTCCTTGTAATGTGGCCGGAGCAATAGCTTATTTTTCCATTTAGAGACCACAACATTTCTTTGTAAATCTGCTTGAAAGGGGACATGAAAGATAAGAGAAATCCTTTGCTCGAGTTTCTCAGCCTTTAAAAATGCTACTGAGTTGTGAGAACAGACCTGAGTCATATTTAGCATGTGTGTGCTATTCTGGAACAGGTGGGACAATTAATGCAATCTTATAAAAACATTGTGCTCAAGGTAGTGCAACACTTCCTGATTTTTGTCATGAGTTGTCCTTCTTTTCACACGCATTCTGGGTCTAGTCCAAGTATCAGCCAACCAGCCAGTTTAAAACAATTCACATCTGACTGGTGGCTGTTTGACAGACGGGTGTTGGCCAGGTTCACATTCAAGTGGAACACATGTTGCTGGGATAGCCTTCTTCCTCTTGGCACCCAATGAGCTGTTCATTTAGCCACAAGACACTGCAGAGCCTGTGTGTTGACATTTTTACTAGCTGAGTGGATGCTGGAGTACCGCGTAAGGAACTCTTTCATTGTAGACTGCTCCTCATGCAGGAATGGTGACTGAATTCCTGTCACTTTCATGACGCCACATTCAAATATTCCTTCAGTTTCAAGTGTCCTTTCAGAAGAATGTTGATTTGTTGACCTCCCATAAATTGGTCATAAGAATTAAAATCTCTGCCGGGCTGCGTTTCACACAAAGCCATTCATATTCTTACATAATGCATGATTCTACACAAAGCTGCTTACTATCCTTGTGCTAATTAAATGACAGGAAATGACATAGAAGTTTTTTTTTTTAAGCTAGCCTATGTAACCCAAGTGTATTACATGAATCAAACTCTGAAGACAAGCTAATGAGGTCTGATTAACTGCTGCAGCTTTTGACCTTATGTTTGCTCCCTGTAAAGAAACATCATTGTGATTATGTTTTGTCAGGCTGCAGTTGCACTGAAGCTGTATGGGTGTAAATCTTATGCAAAGCATGTGCTTGAAATCAGCAATATTTCTCCACTATTTCTGTGCATCCATGAGGGGACTGTATTTCAGAGTGCTTGCTTTGCATGTAGGAGGTCCTGGGTTCGGTCCCAAGTATCTCCACTCTGAATCCTTAATGCTCTTTATGAAACATGTCAAACATGAATTGTATATGTGCCAAAATAAGTTCATCCGTTTGGAATCATCCTGCCAGGGAGATGTAACTTAGTGGTAGTTTGCATGTATGATGCATTGTGCCTGTGATAAGAAGGTTGCCAGATTGAGTTCCAGCCTCAACAGAATAGTTGCATCTTCATCAGACGCTTGAGTTGGGATGGGCAACATAATATCATATTGCGATTATATACATTCATATTGTCATAAATTTGAATATCATGAGTATCGTGATATAGCCGACACTTGTTTTCTTGCATATCTGACAGTTATAGTGTGCTGTTTTTACACGAATTCCATTATGGTATGAGTATGTTGTCAGCATAATTCATCATTATATCTGTCACATGTGACATAACTATTACTAAAGCAATATGGTCATCATAATCAGAGAAACACAAGGCCGCCTGTTATATTTGGCTGTTTTCTACATGTGAGTTTTTGAATATTGTGATAAATATCAATATTGTGAAAATCTCTGAAAATATTGTGATATAATTTTTGGGGCATGTCACCTAACTCTAGTCAAACCCGTTCCTTGTAACGTACAGTGTGGTAGTCCGAGAAAAAAAACCTAGCAACGAAATGTACTGTCAGCATTTTCTAAAATGGAGCATTGAGTTAAAGAAATTATATTGTTATAATTATCAATATCATGATAATTTTTTTGCCATATTGCCCAGCACTACCCTTGAGCAAGACCTTTAAATCCTGCCACCTCAAAAAATGCATCAGGATGCTGGATGATTGGCTGACCGTGTGGTCTGATCCCGCACTTCACTCTCTCCTATATGTCTGTGTGTGTTTTAAAGGAGCAAGAGGGGATATTTGAAAACTAACAAGATTTCCAGTGTTCTTGTATTTGCACGTATGGCAAATAAAGCATCATTCCATTTTTGTAGCATGCTCCTCCTTGCTTGCAGTATGCATGTCTGCCATTCAGTTGATGTCGCCCTATACTTGTTGTGCATTTTGGGGGTGATGTGTGACTCTGTGGGGTAGGACTATGTCCGCTGTGAGTGAATGGTTCCGGTTTGAAATCTTGTAGCTGGCAGCAGCAAGGTGCATAAATTGCTGAAAAACAAGCAGTTCAAAACAAAACACATAGAGCAAATACATTTATAAGCACACTAACACACAAACAGAACTCCCTGAAAGAAATCTAGGGAATTAAATAAATTAACCTGTCTGAAAGTTGTTAGTGGATTGGTTTTGCTGCATGTTTGTACGCAGTCTGTCAGTGAAATCCTTTCAGTGATGCTTCTCTTGACCTATGTGAAAGTGTGTGCACAGCAGATATATTTAACAAGAAATCATTTCAGTGAATGGAAAGGGTTTTTAAATAACTAAATACTTTTTTTTTTCATTTTCAACACAGCAGTTTAAAAAAATGATATGATTGGATAGCCGGCTACTGCAATGATAGCAATCCATATTATCTCAACGGTAGTGATTGAGGAAGTGTCTTGAGGGCTTGAAACGCTACCACCTTCAGTTTTGCGAGGTATTTCTCTTGCAGTGAAATGCCACAGCACTGACACCTGATGTGGCCAGTGTCTTTGTGTGCACCATAAGCAGTGACATATACAGTGAGATGCCTGATTACTCAGGTTCTGCAGGTCAAACTGGATATTGCTGGATGGAAAAGTAGGCTGGAGATTAACCCTTCTGGTATACCTGCAGTAGTTCCCTGAGGAAGGAATCATCTGTAGTTAAGAATGGTATTGAAGTATACTTCACATGGCAGATTGAACTGGGGATGCTTCAATGAGGCCAGATCATGGTTACTGCCCCACCAAGCATGGTTCACCGAGAAGGCTTGAATGCGTACTCGTACTTCATGCGTGTGAAGTAAGCTGGTTCTTTTTGCATGTATTCAAGCATGCCATGCCTTATGTCTGGTATGTAGTGCTGCAGTAGCAAGGCTCAGTAAAATGTTACAGGCCTTGGGCATTTACATTTTTTACAGGTAGCTGTCTAGAAAACGAGTCTGCTGCAGGGTGAACTTCTGCAGAGAAATGAACTTTGAAATTGTGAAATCTGTTAAGATTAAGGTTTGGATGTGGAGGGGACAAGGATGCCAGTAGTTTTGAAGACTGATATTTTACCAAAAACTGTCCTAATAGATCTACGGCAGGATATTAAATTATTCAAAGGGCCACAATTAAAAAAGAAAAGACAACAAAAACATATTTACATATGTACTATGACATTTAATTATAAAGGAATGGTCCCCCTCAACTTTTGGATTTTTAGTCTAAGTTTCTCACCAATGACACCAGAACCAAAGAGCAATGAATTGAGAAGAATTTGTAATTTTCTCTTTCCCCAGACAATGTGGATCTGCCTTTGGACTCTTCTGCCAGGCCAGAGCCAGGCACAGCTAGGGTGCGAGCCAGGCCAGCTGTCCAGCTTCACACATCATCCTCTGTAAGTCAGTCCATCCACCCTCAATAAGTCCTTATTCTACTAATGCTGCTGTATTCAAACCTAATTTAAACTGTTTAAGAAGAAGAATTTAAAGAATTATTCTGTATATGAATTGAAAAAGCTTCCATTCTGGTCAGTCATAAATTTAAAAAGTTATATTATTAGCTGTCATCATTGATAGAAATTTCCTAGGTAATTTGTATAATTTATGCAATGATGGTATGAATAGTGTGAGGTATCAGTTAAAGGTTAGGCTGTGACCAGTGCCGTCTCAGACTTAGTCCTTTCAGTCAGTGTAATCTCATTACCAGCTGACGTGTGCATTGAGCATTGTTCTGGGTTCACAATTTATGAAAAGTGCTATGAATAAATCTAAAGGCTTCTTTAATGTTGAATCAAAGACCAGCATTAAGGTACTGCATAAGTTTAAAGACGTACCTGTACTGTATGTGAAGGTGCTGGACGGTGACACATTGGACCTCAACATGAACGCAAACTATAGAGTTGAGATCAGGTGACAATTGCTGATGCTCAAGATACTCAACTAGTCCAATGAAGGCCAGTTTTATTGCTTCCTTAATCAGCACAACAATTTTTATCTGTGATATGCATAATTGCAAAAGGTTTTTCTAAGGATCAATTAACCATTTAAAATGATAAACTTGCATTAGCAAACACAAAATTCCACTGGAACACAGGACTAATTGTTGCTGATAATGGGCCTCTGTACACCTATGTAGATATTCCATTAAAAATAGCCGTTTCCAGCTGTGATTTTCATGCCATAGACCGGGGAAGAAGGAGCAAGGAATTGAGGAACCGGGGAACGAGGGATTTATTGCAGAATACCACACTCAGGAACATAAGACGTTAGACTTCACAACGTTAATGGCCGGACTGGGGAAACATACTCAAATACAGATCTAAATACATCAGACTAATTAACAACGAGAAACAGCTGGTAACACAGAGATTCCACACGAGGTAGCGAGGGGGGCGTGGCACACGGGAGGATTGGAAGAGCAGGTCATGACAATGATAGTCATTTTTTTTTCCAAAAGTAAGGAAATTTCTAAATGACCCCAAACTTTTGAACGATAGTGTATCCTTGAGCAAGGCCCTTAACCCCTAGTTCGCTGGGTACTGCTACAGGCAGCTGCTCTTCACACGCATCTTGCTTTCACCTACATAGAGCAAGTTGAGGGAGGCTTAAAAAGAATTTCCCCATGGGGATCAATAAAGTATCAATTATTATGTTTTTGGACTGTGGGGGGGACCAAAGTACCCAGAGGAAACTCCAATACGACACAGGGAGAACATGAAAACTCCACACACATGCAGTTAGGGTAGAGACTTCAACCTTGGTCCCACAGGTATGAGGCATCAGTGCTACCCACTGTCACCCTAGCAGGGACCCTTTTCGGTAAAAAAACAAATAATAATGAACCCTTATGAACCTTCGCAAGTACCTGAGCGTCCCCTCAGGAGAATTACTCCTAAAGCATTACTCACACTCCAGTTCAATTATCACCACCCAGGTGTGCACAGTTGTGTGATGAGGGGTGTGAACACTAATCAATTTTTTCATCAGTTCTGTATGGTCACCTGGACACATGACCTTTATCCCAGCAATCATACATAAGTTAGCAATAGTACTAAAGAGATGATATGTGGCTCATCATTGATCTGTAGTTCAAGATTGATCTGTTTACCTAGATAAATTGAATAACCCTTCACATTGTTTTTCTCATTTATTCATTTCACTATTATTAACCCCTATGTCATCAACTTTCCTTCTTTTTGTTTCCCAGTCATCTTCCCAAGGCTTTGCTGTCCCAATTCCAAAAGTGCCACTTATGCCCCCAACCAAAGGAATGATTGCAGCTGGGAGAGGTACCAGTCAACTGCTGCATGATGTGTGTGCTTGACTGATCTTGACCAGATTGCAGGGGGAGGAAGGAAAAGAGAACACAGGAAAGACAGTGAAATATTGTCTTAATAAATAGTTTGAGTATGTACATGAAGAAACCCTGCCATGAACTGACATCCCACCAAGGGTATACCCTGACCTTGTGCCCTCTGTTTGTGTGTGGTCCGTATGTTTGATTCTAGGACACCAACAGGTAGATTCTTGAATAAGGTGCTTTTGCTGCTTTTTTTGACTCATATTGGCAAGAATTATGTTCAATCTTACTGCTTTATAAAGGGAAAGAATGGTGGGGTTTTCAGCTTTGGTCCTAATAAACAATCTGCACGCATTTTTTTTTGTTCCAGCTCAGCTCTTAATGAATGATTCTCTGTAGAAATGCAGCATAAATTAATTGCATAATTTTATTTACTGAACTTGAGGCCTCATGTTTCTGAATTAGGTATTCATTAACAAACTTAAAATAACTAAATAGTGACTAGATGCTTTATTAATCTTTAAATGTCATTATTATATAAACATCCTTTCATCATCCATCCATCCATTTATCATTTTCCAACCACTTAATCAGTACAAGGTCACTGCACTGTTGATGGAATGCTCTTGTAATCGATTCTTACTGGTTCTAACCTATGGCGATCTTTCTTTCTTTTTCAGAAAATGGCAATGCAGTTCCCAGTCAGAGCTCCTTTTTTAATTCACTGGAAGGAGAGATGTACATTCCTCCACCACCAACTATGCAGCCCCCTCCCCCACCAACAAATTCAGCCAGCTGTTCCTCACCTAATCTGCCTGCTTGGAAACCACCATCACCAAAGCCAGTACAAAAGGTGTTCAGTCAACACTCAGACCTCTCCCCCGTCATGTCATCCCTGAAAATTCCCTCGAAAGGTTCCTCAAATTCACCTAGCACCAACATCTTTGATTTCTCTAGTTCAGCAGTCACTAAATATGCCAGTTTACCCCCATTCTCAGACCCTACTCTACCTGTGGAGAAATTAGAAGGCACCACACCCAGAATCCAGAATCCCCCCTCTCCGCCAGATAGGCTCTCCTCCTTGCAAGTTTCAGATTCTCCAGCTGAAGTCACTGCACCTTCCAGTTTCAACCCCCAGAACAAGGCTAAGCTGTACAGTATGCCAAACACCAGCATTTTAAATAAACAGAAGGATATTCAACATAAGCCTAATAACCCCATCATCGTTTTAGAAGATCCTTCCACAGATAAAATTTCACGTCCAGTACAAATCAACAGTAAAATTCCTGCTGCTGTCAACAATTTTGGGTCAGCTACACTGTCAGATGCTCCTGCGAAGCCAGCTCAGAGTACAAGTCCCCAGATGCAGAATGACCAGCAAGATGTCAAGGACATCCTGCAGGCCAACCTTCCCAACAAAGTGACTGAGGGACATATGTTTCCTGTCAAGGATTCTGGGTCAGTTATTCTAGATGGAACTACATATCCTGCCCCAGAAATCTACTCCAGCCCAAAATCAAGTTATGTCATGATGCAAGCCAGCAGAAGCTACAAGCATGGTTTAGATGTGAGCCGAAAGCCATACTACCTTCAAAGGGGAAGTAGAGGCTTGCAGTCAAGGGAGTGCACAACCTCTCCTATTGCCCTTCTGCTTGCTGCCAAGGAGCGAGAGAAACTCAAGTCATTACACTTGAATGAATCTTCCTCAATTGATGAAACAAAGACCAATAATGCAAACTCTTCAGCCCAGAGTCTCCTGAACCCTCTGCCTCCAGCATCCGTAGGTGAGCGTGTAGCTCAGTTTCCAAAGAGGCAGGACACATACTTTGTGCGCTCCACTCCAACACTTAACCCCACTCACAATGAGAATAGATTACACGATGACAGCACGTCTATCATCCCTCCACCTCCCGAATTTGCAAACTTAGAGGAAGATACTAAGAATCATAGTGATCATTTCAGTTCACCTCCTAATCTGCCTCCCCCTGACCCACCTGTAGTGAAGACACACTCTGCACCAGAACTCCCTATCGTTTCATCAACCTCTTCCCCAGAAATCAAGCCAGCAAAAGCACCACCTCCTGAAATCAAGATAGCAAAAGCACCACCTCCTGAAATCAAGATAGCAAAAGCACCACCTCCTGAAATCAAGATAGCAAAAGCACCACCTCCTGAAATCAAGCTAGCAAAAGCACCACCTCCTGAAATCAAGCTAACAAAAGTGCCACCCCCTGAGGCTAAGCCAGAGCCCCCCTCTGGCAATCACAGGACCCTCCAGAGCATTATACATAAGAAACAGTTGGACCAGGGATACGGCTTGAGGCAGTTAGACAAAGAGTCTGGAATTCCTGTCAGGCAGAATCCTGCTGACAAAATGAAAACAGGATCACCCACAAACGTTAATTCCTCGCAGGCTCACAGCTTTGTCCTCAGTGAACTGGGAAGTAAAGTGGCAAAGATGGCTCACAAATCCTCTGTGACGTCCAAAGAAACCAACAGGTACAGAATTATCAGAGCTTTTTACTCCGAGGAGACATTAGCTTTGACAGTTTGATCATTCTAGTCATGTAACAAAACAATGTTACTAAGCCATTTGATAACACTATTTCTTTGTATTTTGTATACTACCATTAAAGACTACAAGTACAATTAAAATGAAATATACAATTGGGTGCTTCTCCTTAGTGGCAAATATTATTTTTATATGTTTTACAACTAGAGAACCCCCCCCCCCCCATAAAGTTATTAGGAGAGAATAAAAGAACTTGTACCTTGGGGTTTCAAAATTTCTACTTTAAGCAGGAAATAAAAATAGTACCTATTTGTATGTCTCATCTTTGGAAAAACCACTTGTTTTTATGAGGTTTTCACCCATCATTTATGTGTCACAATTATAAATATTATCTCGTAAGCCTTACAATTTTCATTACATCTTTTCTAGGACAACCTGCATGTTTAGATAACTATTTATGATTTTATGATTTGGTTTGTAATAATAAAATGGATAATAATTCTTAATTCTAAGACTTGAAAAAGCAGGTATGTTTTTCTGTTACTCTAAAAACTTCCAAGTACTTAGGTCACAGACCAGTTTTTTTACTCTAAGTAAAGTATGAGTCTTGATTTAACATCCCCTTGTTCTGTCATCGTAGTGATTTGCCAACATCAAAGCCGCCCTATGGCACCTCCTTCATAGTACGACCTGGGACTAAACAGCCAATCAGTGTCATCAGGAAAGGAGATTCTTCATGAGGACAAGGGACTGCAAAATACAGACTGCATGGAGAAACACATTTATTGTCACAGTGACAGATAACAGAAACAGAGAGAAGTCCTCACAAGCCACAGAAAAAGCAGGTTCTACCAAACACTGAGATGAAATTGGGAATGTTCCAGACTCCTCTGTCATATGTTTCCTATTCACAGTGCAAATGGTTTACTAAGACACAGCAGGGAAATTACATACCTACTTTTGTTATTTTATTTTCCTAGATTATTCATACTTTTATCCTAAGAAATTTACAACTTGAATTTATTTTGTCAGATCATACAAATGGATGTTTTAAGAGTAATTCGGGTGTGGTGCTCCATAGAGCAGTGTTTCTCATCCTTGGGGGGCCCCAGACAATCCACATTTTTACTCCTGTAGACTGTCGGGTCCCCAAGGATCGGCTTGTGAAACCCTGCCTCAGTGAAATGTTGTTTCTTCAGACACTTCTTAAAAATCCAACGATCACAAAAATCCGTGTGCTAAACCATTATGCTACATGTGGCCTTTCCTTGATTAGTCTAGTTGACCATGCTTGTCTTATTATGAAAACTCAAAAGGATTTTTTAAAATTCATAGTTATAAATTAATATGTGCACAATTTCACTCTGTAGTGTAAAAGAAATGCTGTATAAAGTATATGTGTATATAAGTCTTTGTCATATCCTCCCAAATGCTTTGAATTATTGGTGCTATACAACATTCCAAATATTTGGGGTGTGTGCGTGTTGGGAATGGTTAGTATATGTGTTGGAAATTTAAGTTTTTGATGTATGGTTCAGTTGGTCTTGTTACCACAGCATCACCTAAAACTGATCTACTAATAAAATAAGTTTTGATTATTACACTTTCCTAAAAAATATTTCCATATTACTGCCCTTTTGGCTTGTTTTTCCACACCCTTTGAATCCCCATTCTTGTTTCATCCAGCCTCTTCCCATGCTTAATGTGATGGAGAGCATGAGTTCCCTCAGGACCATGGAGAAAATGTGAGGCGTACACTAGATAAATTAGCATCACTCAAAAATAGCACCCAGGTCAAGAGAAAGCAAAGAAGCCCCATAAGTGTATGTGTTAGGTCAAAAAGAGGTGAAAGTACTTCACAGAATCATAGTGATCATTTTGTTTAACCTCCTAATCTGACTCCCTCAACCCACCTGTAGTGAAGACCCACTCTGCATCTCAACCCCCCATTGATTTATCAACCCATTCCCCAGAAATCAAGCTAGCAAAAGCGTCACCTCCTGAAATCAAGCTAGCAAAAGTGTCACCATCCACCCGCTGGCTTCCGCCAGCCAGCTTCCGGTTCCCGCAGTAAGACGCAGAGGCAAAAGAAGCGTGCAGACTCCCCCTTAGATTCTGAACGTCCTTTCTCCGCTGCCGCACCCCACGTGCCCGGCCTGAACGAAGTCGGTCAGCCGCGGGAGCCTGGCCTGGACGAGGCCACTGCTCCACTTCCTGAAGTGCCCCAGTGTCTCCCGCTTCCTGAAGTACCCATGATGACTGAGTTCTACCCAACTCGAGGGGCGTCCAAGCTCCACTGGTATCCCAAGGTTCCCAGCCTATCTCCTGAGGTGCCCACCATGCTCACTCACCTCTCCAAGGTCCCAGCCCAGCCTCACACGCCCCCAGGCTCCTGCTCCTGCCTGCTGCTTGCCTGCCTCGCCAGCCCCTTGCTGCTGCCTGCCTGCAGCCGCTTCACTGGCTCCTGCTCCGACTCTCTGCTGGCCTCCAGCCCCAAGCCTGTCTTCTTGATGGCCGCCTGCTCCGAGGGGACAAGCCCTGAGGAGAACCCTCTAGATGACCTGGAGTGGGACCCTCTGGGTTAGGCCCTGAGTCCTGCATGATGGACCTTGGTCCCCATCCCAAACTTGGACCACCCATGTTCCCTGTCCTGAGATGGCCTCTGGTGTCAACTAGAGAACCCCCTAGTCCAATTCTGTTCCCTCCTGCCTCATTTCTGTTTTTGCCCAAATGCCCTAGCTCTTCCACTTGTCATTTTCCCTAGTGTATGGTTCCCCATTGGTTATCTGTTGTTGACCCTGGTGTGCCTTCACTGTTTTGGTCAATGTTGTTCCTTGGTTTCTGTGTTGCTCCTGATTCCCAGTGTCGTCTCATGTCTCTCCTGTTAGCCAATGCTCGTTCAGTGCCCCTGTCAGGATGCTTGTTTGTTTCATCCTGTTGTGTCTAGTCGTCCAGTGTCCTATCATCCCTTGTTCTGTCCAGTGTCCCCTTTTGTCTCTCTCCCTGTTGTTTGGTCTCTGTGGGTCCCTCCTGGAGTGCATGCGTTGAAGGGCGGAGGTTGGGCACTGTCATGCCCTGCATCCCTGTCCCTCTCTTTCTCTCCATAGTTACTCATTTGTCTTACTGTACCTCCCGTTTCAGCCCTCGTGTGATTCACACCAGATGCCTCTCATTTGCTCCTCATCAGTGGTGTATAAGAGTTCCACCCAGTCCTGTGCTCCCCAGTCTGGTCATTGATGTCACCCAAGTGTGTGCTCCAGCAGTTCCCCCTATTACCAGCTTTGCCTTTTGTTTGCCCTGTTCCTATTCCTTTAATAAACCCCATTGTTTTGGCCTCATACCTGTTCCCGCCTCCTTTGTGTTTGGAACATGACACACAGGTCTTCAGGAAGGCTGTTCTACATATGTGGACCATAGTACCAGAAGGATGCTTCGCCGTGGGTTTTTGTTCAGACTTTAGGGGTAATTAAAAGGCCGCTACCTGAAGACCTGAGACTTCAAGAGTGTTCATAGGATAAAAACTAATCTTTTTTTGGATTTGGTCTGTGTGCTTTGGATGCCTTAACCATGCTGGCATTCTCCACCAACTACTTACCAACACAGCAAAATTCAGTCTGTTTATGGTGTACTGACAGTGTTAACTGCAGGTACTTTGGGAAAGATGATTGTAGAGATCTTACCTCAAGCAGCCTAGTAAACCTGTGGCTGCTCAGATTTCCTTAATTACACATGAAAATATCTATAAATATCTATTAAAAACACAAAATGATAGAATTGGTAGTTTAAAATAAACTTTTACGGAATTATAAAAACACTCATTATATAACATTCCCGCCTGTGACACAGTAGTTATTTCTATCAGAGCGAATTAATTTACTCCTACCTACAGTAGATTCGTGCGTTGTTTTTCCCGTCCCGATATTCGGGTCATACTGCCATCTTCAGGATATGAAAGAAATTGTGCATTAATTCCATAATCACTGGATTTGTATTCAGTCCCGAATTCGACAGCAACTAAAGTTACAGAAAGACGTGTAAACGAAAATATAGTTCCGCTGACGTGCTCTTCAAATTAACCGGAATCAATTACTGTTAAAAAACCATTCAAGATTCAAAGTTTTGTACTTTCGTACAAAGTACAGCGTACAAATTACAATAAAATTCTTGCTTGAATGCTTTCTCCAAAGACTACAATTAACAGAGCAGTGCAACGTTGCAACAGAATAAATACTAAATACAACATACTAACTACTACAAGATATCTAACATAAAATATCTTATATGACACAACATTCAGAGCAAATTAAGTAGCAAGACAAAGTGGCATACAGAATACAGTGAAATACAAAGAATGCTGCAGTAGTATTACAGTATTAAAGAATTAGCAGTAGCAATAATAAATGACAGAGCAAAGTGATAAACATCAGGCAGATCAGTGCAAAAGAGAGGTAGGAAACAGCAACGTAGAGCTTAACATTGCATATTAGTGTGTGTTAAGTAGTCTTGTAGCATTAGGGTTGGAGCTGTACCTGAATCACAAAACAAGTTCTGTAAATAGATTTTGATGCGAAATTACTAATTCGGTTTTCATGGTTATTTTCAAAGGCCAGGTGAACGCATTCAGCGATGAGATTTCTGCACAGTTTAAATTTCTGATGCATTTTCGGTTAAAGTCGCTGCGACTCCGGTAAGGAATTAGGGGATTGGATGCTGGAAGGATGGATTAAAAAAAAAAAAAACATTTAAGCAAACATCCCAAAGCCTCCGGCTTTTCTCGCTTAAGTTTAATGGGACTCTAGCTCCCCTGCGCGGTTGCGCGGTGTCACACCCGCCCCCCGTCCTCCCTTGGTCCTCCAGCGGGTCTACCTTCTTGTCGCTCCCCTCCACCCCAAAGCCTCGTCGTTTGCCAGTGAACTCTGACTCCGCTGGACGGGAGATACCAGCCCGGGGCCTGTGCAGCAGTAAGGGGCGGCTATGCAAAACGTGCCGCTTGTGTAATACTGTTATTTTATTTTTTTACACCTCCACGTGAATTTTAAAGTGTTTCTCTTTTTTCTTAATTAAGCGCCAAAACAGACATTTTAATAAAAGTCGGCGGTATTGTCGTGCACCCCTCCCGCGCCAGGCGTAGGCAGCAGTCCGCAGTCTCCCTGTCGGGTCTCGGTTCGCGTTGCGCTGTTAGCGGAGCATGTGAGTAGCATCCGGAGCTAACGCTGTACCGGCGGCCGAGGCAGCCTCGCCTCTCTCTGATTTCCATTTAATTTGTGTATATAAACAATGCTGTCAGCCATCCCGGGTCTGGGGTCGGCCTCCGCTTCTAGCGCGTTCGCTGTTTATCTAATTGCTCGGCTGGGTTTGGTAAGATGCTGAGCTGTTTTTTTTTTTAATCTTCATGCGCTTTATAATCATAAGAAACTCATTGACTGACAGTTAGCCGGACAGACAGTGGTGGATCATTCGCTCGCTGCATTCACAGTTAAAATTCACAGCGCTGCATCTCTTTAAACATGTATTTTATCTCACGCCGTTCGTGTACGAAAATTTCCCTGTTCGGTGTTTTTTTTTTTTAATGGGGGGGAGGGGGCGACTTTATCCAGAGGTTGCCGTCTGACTGATGCATGGCTGTCAAGCTCATCAGCGGCAGAATGAATGGATGGTGGCGAGCTGGATTGTGATGCTTAGCTTGCCCGAGGAAGACAGATGGCCGTCTTTAATGGCCAGCAATTCGGCTACACTCTCCGGTTGATTAAAGCGGCTCGGTAAAACGCTGTCGCCAGCTGTGCCATGCGATCGGAGGGATGCTGCTGTTTTAGGGGGAGGGCGCCTTGGCTTGGCATCGCTTTAGCGATCGTACGCACGTCCCTTGTGTGCCATTTGTAGTTCCGTGAACTAGGCTGCTCTAAGTCAGTCAACTGCACGGTACGACTGTATTTAGTGGCATAGTCGGCGACGGGGGAATGAGATTATCCGGTAAATAATGGACGAGGTGGCTGATGCTGCCGTGAGCGCGCATCGAGTTATGCTGCTAAAGCGGTAATCGATGAATGATCATCATTTTCTGTGATAGACATCAGCGAGTGACATATATTGGTACAGTAGTAAGAGAGGATGATGATTACTTTAGTAGTTCAAGGTTGAAGTATGAGTACAAAACACATGATATGACCAGGAGTAGGGAAGCGACCCCAGTTAGACTCCCTTGATTTTTCCTTCTAATTTATAGAGGGAATAGGAAGACGAACTTGACTGAATACTAGTTGTTTATAAATTTCCTGTGGTGGATTTTAACTTGGATCATAGCTAGCAAATACAATTTCTGTGTCTTTCTTGATTTGTAACAGTAATTGACTGGTAACAAGGAAGTGGTACAGTCATACGGACAAACAGGTGGCTTCTCTCTTATCTTGTACGTTGTGCATTGCTTAGCAGTCTCATGTCAGAATCCACTTGCATTTAACATATAAGAGCCTTTACAATTCTTGAAAGCTCAAGGTTTTGGTCACAGCTCCATTCTCTTAACTGGTCTGCAGCAGTCAGCTGTGTGCCTCTTCTCTCTGTGGCAGAAGGATTCCCGTTTGAGATGAGTATGCTGTGTGTGGTCTCATTGTGTCGGAGGTCCTGTCCCAATGCTTGACTCTGAGTACTGCTAATTTTACCGATTTTGCTGGCACCAGTAGCAATAAACCCACCTCTACACAGGTTCCCTCTTTTGAGAAATGCAGTTCCGAACTTGTATATCTTTTTTCCCTTCAGTGTTTTGGACTAAGCTTACTTAAGGATGTAAATCAAGTATATTTTCCATATTTTTGAACTTGACTAAGGATTGGTTTTTGGTTTATTATGTGTGTAATTGTTGGTGGAAGGTGACATATTATGTATGGCACTGATACTGAAGTAACCACCGGCTTTCAAATTTCATATGATTATTTTTACTTGGACATAGGTTTATGGATGTAGCATTGAAAATTATGCAAGTCTACACATGGGTCACACATGAGGTTTACTTGTTGATGCTCAAAGTCAGCAAGAGAATGGGCGCTAAATGAGCAGAGAATGTCAGCAGTACATCTAAGCTTGTACTTGCCCTGATTGGACAATGGGTGGTGCTGTGGTCAGAGTGCTTGACTCGTTAACTAAATTTCCAGGATTTCCTGAGTGGTTCTGCATTTGACTTGGGCATGGAGGCTGATTGCCACAGGATCTGAGAAGAAAATGCTCAGTTTGCCGTCCTTGTAGTTTTGAATCTTCTGCAGGCTGATTGTGTTTCTGAATGCCATTTAAAGTACGTCTTGCTAAGCTCAGTGAAACATTGTTAGAGAATAATGCTGATATGGTACTTTTTGAATAAAAAGCTGCAAGCTTGTAATGTTACTCTTATGTTATCATTATATCATCATAGCTTTAAGAACTATGTTGTACCCTGAGTAAATTAATTATGCACAGTTTACGAAACAGATTTTATTAATGTTTGCTAGAACAGAAAACTTTTGACCTGGTTGTTTTTCAAAGACTTGCCTTGAAACTTAATTAGTTGTTTATAGAATCTCTTTGCTCAAATGCAGAATCTCACAAAGAAATGCTTCAGAACAGAATATCTTCATACATACTATTTTTGCACACTCAAGTCAATTAACATAATAACTCATTGAAGTAATACTATACAGCTAAGTTAACTTATGTCATTGACTTACTATGATTATATTTACTTTATTGATCCCCATGGGGAAATTCTCTTTTTGCCTGCCCCATCTTGCTCTCCACAGGTAAGAGCAAGCTTGGCAGTGAAGGGCAGCCACCAATAGGGAGCTGGGGGTTAAGGGCCTTGCTCAAGGGCCTGCAGACATGCTGAGGCTGGGCTTGAACCAGCGACCCTCCAATCACAGGCATTGAAGCTTAACCCACTGAGCTACACAGTGCATTCTCACAACACAACTTTCAACCATTATAACAAGATACTAATAGTAGTTTCAAACTTTTTAAATTATTTCTGATGTATAGTTACTCTAATTTTAGAATTAGGTAGGTATTGGACATACAGAGAGATTCACATCTTGTTTCTGTGACAATGTCTAAATTGGCCTGTGACACTGACCAGGATAATGGGTTGGAAGGTGAATGAATATGGGCTGTGAGATGGTTTTTACTTTAATTGAAAGTTGGCTATCAGGACCAGCGCGCACTCTGGTTTCCTCAGAGAAGTATTGGATCCATGCAGCGTTTTAAACACCTTTTGGCATTAGGGAGGAAATCTGTCTCGTGCTGTATCAAGTGACGTGTTGTTGCCAGGTTCACACGTGTAAGTGGAATATATGTGCAGCTTTGCAAGTGGTCTTTTAGTGGGCTGTTTATGGATGATTATAAAAAAGTTACTGTCTGCATTTGAAGATGGAACAGAGTGTTGAATTATGGATTGACAGAATAGCTTTGCCTTTGAGCTAAAACCACTTGTCCAACAAATGGTGTACATGCAATGTAAGAAAAAGGTGGATATAGTGCTAGATGCTCTGGCTTCCTGGTAAAAGGAGAGTGACATTCTACTAGGACTTAAATGTTTTTTGACACAGGTGGCCGTTTAGATACAAAATAGTTTTTAATACTAGATCTTATTCAGATTTTTTTGTGTATTGGTGTATGTTTATTTTTCCTTTTTTCTAGTCTAATCAGAGCTAATTTAAAAATGTCAAAGTATTTCTGGATAAAATATAGAACATTTAGCACTTTATTTGTCTGAACATTTTTCTACTTTTTGTTCTGCCTTACAGGGACAAAAATGTGCAGCTTTACATGGAAACGCACTTTGAGCCTGTGTGGTCTTGGTCACCATGACACCCAGCAGAGGATTCTGGGATTGAGACACAGCTCACTCCCACAGATGGCCTGGACTGGGTGAGAGTACATGTGTGCCACAGTTTTTTTGTGTGTCTTTTCACATGTAGACACACACGTGCATGCAAGCATCTACGTCTGCAAGTGCAGCAGGTATAGAAGACAAGGTCTGTATCCCCCCACTGCAGGTGTGAGCTGGCCTGCTAGAGCAATGGGAAGCTGCTGGAGCTGCCTGTACAAAGACACGGTCCCAGACAACCACCCCACCAAATTCAAGGTCCTGGTGTCTCTAGCTTATCTGCTTTCAAGGCAACGTTTTTCTGGAGATACTGTTAAGGCTGCATATACATTATACATATATTCCAGAACTTATTATTGCATGTAACTCTTTATATCATGGTTTTGGTGCAGTAGAATATTCCTTTGACCGGTAAAATGTTAACCCATCTGTGATAGAATCTCTGTCACCTGATTGGCTGTGTTGGAACAGAACCCCTCTCACTCATTGGAAAGCATTAGAATACAGCAAGAACTGAATTACCAGGATTCAGGCCAAGACCATCAAAACAAGCATGCCACATTTCCAAGTTTTACTTGAGCCCTACGACATCAAAGGGAAGATGCCCCTGACCTGGGCAAAGGGCAACTTTAGTCACCCCAGTGTAGGCACTGTTTGCGCAGAGACATCCCCTAGTTACATCACAGTCTACATAGAGAGACACAGACATGTGGAAACAGTGTCCAGGGACCTGTGGCTTAGAGTTCTAGGGAGAATACTGGCATTTCAGGAAATGTCATCTCAGGTGAAAAGAAACTCATAACGAACCAGCAAGCGGTGGATCAAATGTTGTAAACACAGGGTGTGAGAAAATTACTCCCGTACACTAAGCTTATGTCGGAACTGGGCTGTAAAATACACCAAATATCAGTAGGTTAGGACTGAAATACAATTCCAAGTTCCAAAGCTGTATAAAATGCAATAAAAACAGAATGCAGTGATTCACCAATCATATTTTATGACAAATATATGATCAATTTCAATTTGATGCCAGCAACACATTTTAAAAAAGTTGGGCCAGGGGCGTGTTTACCTCTGTGTTGTATCACTTCTTCTTTTAACAGCACTCTGTAAACGTTTGGGAGCTGAGCAGATCAGCTGCTGGAGTTTTGTTTTAATTGTCCATAAACATATTTTTTGTTTCGTGATGTGCCAGGTGTTTTCAGTGAGTGATTATCTATGACCCAAACTCTTATACTACAGAGCCATGCTGTTGTAATACGTGCAGAATGAAGTTTGGCTGAAATATTCAAGGCCTTCTCTGAAAAAGACGTCTGGATGGTATCATATGTTGCTCCAAAAAAATATATATATTGTTCAGCATAGGACTGGGTCATATGATCTCAAATCAATATTAACTGAACATTTTACCTTGATTATGATTAATGAACAATTATTTTGTTTTGTTTTGTTTTTTTAGCCCTCATATTTCACTAACAAAGTTTGTACTGTAAATATGCTCAACTCTTAAAGCTGGGATATTTTTTCTAATGAAAGACTGTATATCTTCTTGATTGTAGAATTATTATATTTCATTCAGCAACTGAAATCAAAGCACAAATCGCTTTTTAGTATTAATGTAAAAAGTTCCCTAAAAGTAGAAAATAGTTTGCATTTCTTGATGAATACAGTACTGTACATAGCATATAGATTGCTGTAGTTTCGCTGCTGCATCTCGTTGGCTCAGTCTAGCAGTTTATCATAAGCTTTGAGTCTCTATTTGTCATTGAGAGAAAATGACTTTCTTTTTCCCGTCATGTTTACTGTGAACGCAGCATTAGCCTCAGCTAACCAGAAGCAGACGGGTTACTGCAAGGCAAAGTAGGCAACGTAGGCAAGTAGAAAAAAGAATTACTGTAATTATCTGGTTTCGGACATTTGAAACAGAAATGAAAGGATATGTTACTTTTCCGCAGTGTTTACATTTGACCTCTTTTTGTTCGGTGTCGTTTTCACTAAAGCCACAATGTGCAAGGCATTTCCCTTTGGCCTCCATGCTGCTTCCATGTGGCAGACTAGATGGCGCAGAGTCACGTGACAACACACACAGTAGTGTATTTTTAAGGGGAAAATACATGAACACTTTTTAAGTATTAACAGAATAAAAAAAAACAAAGTAACCAACATGGGCAAGATTACATCGAATAGAGGTTCTGAATGTCGGTTTTGATTAATTTTCGATTAATTGCCCAGCCCTAGTTCAGGATCAATGGTGCCTTCCCAGGTGTGCAAGCTACCTAAGCCACGGGCACTGATGCATCCCCATACTATCACGGATACTGGCTTTTGAACTGTCCACAGATAACCAGCTGGATGGTCCCTCTACGTCTTAGCTCAGAGGACGTGGCATCCATGATTTCTAAAAAGAATTTGAAATTCTGATTTGTCAGACCACAGGACAGTTTTCCATTTTAGCTCAGTCCATCTTAAATTAGCTTGGGCCCAGAGAAGTCAGTGGTGTTTCTGGATTATGTTTATATATGGTTTCTCCTTTACAAGGTAGAGTTTCATTTTGCATTTGTGGATGCAACAACAAACTGTGTTCACAGACAGTGGTTTTTGGAAGTGTTCCTCAGCCCATTCTCTGGTTACCACTACAGAATCATGTCTGTTTTTAATGCAGTGCCACTTGAGGTCCCGAAGACCACAGCTATTTAATATTGGTTTTTGGCCTTGTCTCTTGCATACAGATATTTCTCCAGATTCTCTGAATCTTTTTATGATATTATATACTGTAGACGATGAAATTCCAAAATACTTAGCAATATTAGGTTGAGGAACATTATTCCTAAATGGTTGCACTATTTGCCCAGTCTTTCACAGAGTGGTGAACCTCTCCCCATCTTCACTGCACAGAGGCTCTTTTTATACCTAATCATCTTACTGACCTGTTGCCAATTAACTTCATTCGTTGTGGGATATCCAATCAGGTGTTTTGCTTTAGCATTACACACCTTTTCTTGTTGCCCGTCCCAACTTTTTGCACATTGCTGGCATCAGATTCAAAGTGAGCATATATTTGTCGTACAGTACAATTTCTGTTTGAACATTTAGTATGTTGTCTTTGTTCTGTTTACTAAATATGGATTTATATAATATGCAAATCATTCGGTTATTTACATTTTACACGGCGTTCCAACTTTTTTGAAATAGGATTTTGGAGTTTTGCCAATCAATATTAAAACCACATGTCAAAATTTATATTAATGCAAGGAAATACCATCCTTTGTTCTCAAATAGGGCATTTTCTGTAGTCATCAGATACATTCCAAGGTCTTTTATATAAAGAAAGCTGTTTTCCGAAGTTTATTTTATCACGTCTTTTAATGGTGGGGTTATATTTGCTGCTTTGTTTTGATCCTGCACTGTATTCTCATTCTTTTCAGCTTTTTCTCTCAGTTTCACATTTTGGCCTTTTGATGGCAGGTGACCAATGTGGACGATGAAGGCAATGAGCTGGGCTCTGGCACCATGGAGCTGACGCAGACGGAGCTGGTGCTGCACACACGCAAGCGGGACGCTGTCCGGTGGCCCTACCTGTGCCTGCGGCGCTATGGCTACGACTCCAACCTCTTCTCCTTTGAAAGTGGCCGCCGCTGCCAAACAGGACAGGGTGAGCCCAGCCCTCCTATCCTACCCCCCCCGACGCAGCCCATATTGTCCCACTGCCTCCCAGTGAGGCCACAGGCTGGTTGCCCCAACAGAAACTCTCTGGCTGGTGTTGTTATAGTTATCATAATCTGAAACTATAAGAAAGCATTTTCATAAACTGAAGTAAAATGCGATAAAAAAATGTAAAAACTACAACTCAATGAATACTAAATAGTGCTACTGAAAATAAATATTTTGTTACCGTTTTTAATCATATTTATCTAAACTCTAAAGGATCAGGCAGATAAAATAGCTGTACAACTTTCGGTCTGTCCCTAGAAATATATTGACTTAAACTTAAACTGAAACTAAAATATAAAATCAAAAACCTAAATAGAAATATATATTTTAAATAAAAACTAAAAAATAATAAAAACCATACTGAAAACTAGCTAAAACTGAACTGGATTTCAAATGAAAATTTAAAATAATATGAAAAATAAAAAATAAAACATGGAATGTAGTAAAACTGGTTGGCCCCCTGGCCCAGTTACAGTTGTGGTCCGTGCCCCCGCCCCCTAGCTTGCCTCCTGCCTGCAGCACTTACTGGCTGTCTTGTGACATGGGCTCAATGGGGGCGGCACAATAATTGTCTTATCTCGGTTGTTTAGTTGTTGGAAGCCAAAATCATAATTGAAATTAAAATTTGATTAATTGCCCAGCCCTGCTTATAAATGTGTAGTGTTCTTCTCCAAAGTATCTAATATGTACCTGCCCATTGCTTTCAGTGTCTAGTGGATTTTTTCAGCATATTGTAGTTCCGTACTGGTCTGTTGGGACTTTGACTGTTATGAATCACGTAAATTGTTTTGGTGTGCAACATTTGGTAACATTCCTCCAACAAAAATTCTGTGCCACTTTGTGGTGGCTAATGCAGGCCTTCTTGTCTCAGGTGGCTATTGCAGGCCTTCTTGTCTCAGGTGGCTAATGCAGGCCTTCTCGTCTCAGGTGTGCTCTCTGACTCGCCCCCATGCAGGGATCTTTGCCTTCAAGTGTGCACGGGCAGAGCAGATCTTCAGCTTGCTGCAGGAGCTCATGCAGTGCAACAGCATCAATGTGGTGGAAGAGCCAGTCCTGATGGGCAGGCCAGGGCACGCCCCTGGCCACGCCCCCGAAATGGATCTGCCCCGCACACCTCAGACGCCGAACAGTGAGTGCACCATCTTCTAGGACATGCCAGCTAATTCTCAGAATCCAAACAGAGCCAGGCGTAGAGGCTTCTTTCCTGACTGGATTAACATAGTGAAGCCAATACTGCGCCAGAAGGGTGCAAGTTCAAGACTGGGGGTAAGGCATTGGATGAAAATGTCTTTTTCTTACAGTACCATTCAAAAGTTTCGAGTCACTTAGAAATTTCCTTGTTTCCGAAAGAAAAGCAATTTTTTGCCAGTTAAAATACAGTGGTACCTCAGAACTCGAATTTAATCCGTTCAGAACTCCGGATCGAATCCTAAAAAGTTTGAGTTCTGATTAAATTTTCCCCATAAGAAATAATGGAAAACCAATTAATTGGTTCCCGGCCACAAAAAATTACACCTAAATATGTTTTTTTTAGCATTTAAACACAAAATGAACCGGATAAAACAAGAACATATACTGTACTAAACACATCTAAGCACATCCATCAAATCAGTAATTTGTAAAGTAAGAAAATAAATGTATCTAAACAATGTGTAAGTAAAAAAAAAACAATGTGTCCTGCCCCGATCGTCCGCTCCTTCCGTGTGCCACGCCCCCTCGTTAACCCCGTGTGGAATCCCCGTGTGATCAGCTGTTTCTAGTTGTCATTAGTCCTCAGTATTTAGTCCGCGTTTCAGTTTGTTTCCCCAGTCTGGTCATTGTATTGTCCATCTGCGTTTTGCCTGCCTTACCTGTAATTAAACCCGTATTCCCCGATACCCTGACGTCTGCGCCTTTGTCTCCGTTCCGTCCCCGCTGGGCACAACAATATTATTATAATTAAATGTATTAATGGTTTATTATTAATATTAAAATAATGAATAAGAAATCTTTATTTTTAAGTCGAAGTCAAAGTCAGCTTTATTGTTAATTCTGCCAC